GTACTATTGAATTAAAGCAAAGAGTATTTAACTGTTTCTGCCGCAAATTATCGAAAAAATCATATAATAATAATTCTAATGATGGCTCAAATTCGGAACTTGACTTTATTTTTTCTGCACAAATTGTTTTCGTCGTTACAATAATAGGGATATTGCAAATTGTCCGAGATTTGTACATCTAATAATTGTGGCAGGAATGTGATTTAATAATCTATATGGCTAAGGCAGAAAGAATAAAGTACGTGCATATATCAAAAAATTCGCATGTTATCAAATTAATTTTAGTACACATAATAAATGATTAAGTTTACAAAAAATTACTACCTTTCCAAAACTTTGAAGAATTATGTTTTTCGCACTGATAACGTATTATGAAAAGAGAAGATATGATAAAAGTCAATATACTTTTGTATTTTATTAAGAACCAAAGTACTATATTTATAGGGAAGAATTGGAGATACAACAATAATAATTTCTAAAGTTACAATAGTACAATTTTCATTCGCTAATAAATTTACCACTTACAACAATTAACAATGATCATATTTATAATAATAAAATATATATGGATTCCTGTCAATGCTAAACAAAGATTGTCTTTGACACAATATTATAACAAATTTGGATTTAAACTTGAGATGTATACTGCTATTCCATTTATTTTTCAATTCACTTGGCCCCACATTATTTTATCAGTTAATTTTAGTTCTGACACTTACCTTAAATAAACAAGATTACAAGAACCCATGTTCATTTGTCATGTGTCCCACCCACTTACTAACTAGAATTAAAAAGTTTGGTAAATTCCCCCTCTTGTTTGTTTTCGTTTCCTCCCTTTTATTTTATCTTTATTTATTTTTTATTTTTTTATTTTTTTGCATGTACACAAAATTTTCCTATAATTATTACAGACCCATCAAAATATTCTTAGCATTTTTATTTTTTGTTTTAACTCCGTACATTTTCTTTCGATTTGCATAGTATTGAAATGCAAACTTGAGTCATATACATATGATTAAATTCTACGGCAATAGAATTTAAAAAAAAATGATAAAATTTTGATAACGGCGTCACATTGCCGCCGCCACCACCATCGTCATGGTTATCATTGCAATAAAAAATGTTAATTGTCGCTACCATCATTTGTAACATGTCATCACCAGATTAACACCGCTACCACCACCAAGCTATATTAGAAAAAAATAAAAATAAAAAGTGAATAACACCACAAACAGGGGCGGAGCCAGTTAAGGACCAGTGCAGGCCGATGCCCGCACTGGAATTTTCGCCACTAAACTTTTCAAGTAGAGTTGAAGACAGTGCCTGCGCTGGGATTTCTGGCCGCCGAAGTGCCGCTGCCCTGCCTACTACCAAAATAAGGTTGGATGTAGTCAGTAGCTGAAATCGCCATTGTTGCAGTCCCATAAACAAGAACGCGGGGTGGAAGCTGGAAGAAGAAGGGAGTTGAATTTTTGGGGCAATTTTTAAAATTATTTTCTAGCGTGCAAGACTTTTTTGTTGGGCCTTTTTTTTGTTTTTAAATGAGCCCATTTTCATGGTGTATCTTGTTTGGTGAAATGATTTCCCGGAAACCCAATCAGATAATCAACCCTATCCCTATGTCTCTCTCTCCCGCTACCGCCCTTGAGGCCATCGATTCGACGACATCAAGCTGTCTTCAACCTTGTCCTTGTGAGTTGTACTTGCTGCCGCTGACCTCCACTCTCCACCACTGCTGATGTAGCCTGTAAGCCTTTTTGTCTCTTTTTTTTTTTTTTTTAGTTCATTTTTTATGCCATTTTTATTAGGGAATAATTTATGATTTTGATTTATGCTTTATGATTGTGAGCTTGCTGAGGTTTATAATTTATGATTTCTTATAGTCATTATAAAATATGGAGATTTAAGTCACTGGACATTGATTCTGTAAAATTTTTTGGATGATTTTCTGTAAATTTTTGGAGGCTTGGTATTTTAATACTTATGGATGATTCTTGCTAAAATTGTGCCACTGTATTATGAATTTTTAATAACTGATGACTCTTCCAGCTGCTTTGATTGACACTACCAGTAGCATAATTGGGAACTAGAGTGAGAAATAGTAGCAACAACCAGAGAAGTAGGGACTAAAAAGCGGACTAAAAAAATCACTGCAGTCGATATATAATAAAATTGTGCCCGCACTGGATATATAACTGATGACTCTTCTAGCTGCTTTGATTGGCACTACCATTAGCATAATTGGGAACTAGAGTGAGAAATAGTAGCAACAGCCAGAGAAGTAGGGACTAAAAAGCGGACTAAAAAAATCACTGTAGTCGATATATAATAAAATTGTGCCCGCACTGGATATAAACCCTGGCTCAGCCCCTGACCACAAACAACATCGAAATATTATACCACCACCACAACACTCAAGAATAAAACTAATAACATCCCAATCTTCCACAAATAAATTTTCAGATATAAATTTCAAAATTTATACTTCTAATTTACCATAATAAAGAAAAAATAAAATTAAAGGGACATTGATTCTCGAAGTAATATTAACGTTAATAATAAGTTCAAACCTGAATTAGCAGTTTTTTTAATGAGATTCCCAAATAGATTAATCAAAACATTTTTAAAAAAAATAAAATAATAATAATGATAATAATAATAATAATGAAACTCCAAATGTTTACCCCATCATATACAAACATATTGTTTTTGCTAAATTATATGTTGATCGAAATAAGTGATGAATAAGTTATCAGTATTTGTAAATTCTATGAAATGTATAATTAAAATCAATGTTTGAATTGCATTTTTAACCCCCCCCCCCCCCCCCCACAAAAAAAAAAAAAAAAAAAAAAACAAAAAAAAAAAAATACCCCACCAAAAAAAAAAAAAAAGTCTCAAACAAATGTTTAATTTTAGAAATAAAAATAAGCAAACATCAATATATACAAAAATTTCACAATAAATGAGATCATGTCCTAATCTTGGATGCTTGTAGTCATTAATATCAATACTCTAATTTCTTCTTCTTCTTCTTTTTGAAAAGTACATCTCAGGATTATTTTTGGCTGAATTTTACAGAGAAAAAAGAGAAAAAGCGATTTCGAATGCCTTTCGTGAAAATCTTTATTACGAGCTATTTGGTAGATTCAATCTACCGTTGGAGCCCAGAGCTTAGAGTGAAACCAAATATATAAGATAATAATCTCACATTTCGTTGCCGGTTTTAACCCCTCTCGTCACTATCGACTATCGCTCCCACTTATAACACTTAGTGACACATGCAGCCACAGCCATCACTATCATAGCACTATTACAAGTGTTAGTTGTTGTTACCATCATTTGTAACATATCATGTTACACCATTATTTTTACTGTCACCACCAGATCAACGTCGCTATCACCACCACCACCACCACCAAGCCGGTAAGTGGAAAAAGAAAAATGAGAAGTAAACATCAATCCAAACGACATAAGAATATTTTACCACCACCACCCCCCGCTTGATCCTTCATCTTTCTAATTTACCATAACAAAGAGAGAATTGAAGAGACATTAATTCTCTAAGTAATATTAACAGCAATACAAGTTTACCCTGACATATAAACACATTTTTCCCAAATCCGATAACAAAAGAATAAGAAAAATAAAATAAAAAGAAAAAAAAGAATTATAAAAGGAGAGAGAGTGCAAGTCTCCTTTGAGAGCC